CATTGATGATGAAGAAAAAAAAAAAAGAAAACCCTGCAAGGAACAACAAAAATAAGGAGTTCAGTTAGCTAAGCTAAAGAAGAAAAAGAGCATTAGAGGAGTTTAATGAATTGAAACAGAGAATGTAACTGTGTGTGTGTGTGTGTGTGTATTGGGGTGCATAAAAATGTGAACTTTGATCAAAATTAAAGTTTAGAAGTGGGAAATTTAAGGAGGGAAAATCAAATTTGTAGAGTAGAGTAAGAACATTTTTACCTTGGGGAGTTTACTTGCTTTTGTCTTCTTTTACTACAGAGAGTCTTGAATATCAGTGGACCTCTCTAACAGTAACAAGACTGAAAATTGTTTATTTTTAGAGAGAGAGAGAGAGAGAGAGAGAGAGAGAGAGAGAGAGGACGTGGGTAAAAAAAATGGAAGTTATTGGATTGGAGAGGATAAAGTAATTTGGTCATAAATAAACGATTAGGGAAATGCTACAATCCCGTTACAGTACCATTTCATCGGGTGTTTTAACCGTTGGATCATCGATCTTATCTAACTACACGTAGATCTAACGGTTAAAACAACCGATGGGATGGTACCGTAACGAGACCGTAGTATCTCCAAAAGGATTAAGGGATAACTAACTCCCATATTATTAGGAGGGCATAATGAGCTTTTAGGGTTATTAATTGGCGGCTAATTTTCTCACTCTATAACCGTTGCTTCACCTTCAAGAATCCCTTTTATTTATTTAATAGTACGTATCCCGTGCGATACACGGGCAAATAATATTAAATAATAATTATAAATTAAAGATGTTGAGTTGATAATCGTTTATTAGTTGTAAACAATATAAAAATATCTAGTATAAAATAACATAAGAAAATGTATGTTTAAAATATTAACAACACTCTTTGTACCAAAAAAAAAAATATATATATTAACAACTCTAAAATATTATATATAATCTTATTTAAAAGTATCTATAATTTTATATATCATTATTGAAAGATGTGAAGTCACTTAAATTTTTCTAAACTATTTTGTAAAGAAAACATGTCTAAAACTATCTAATGGCAATAATATGAAAATTCCAAAAAAAAAAAGTAAAATTAAATATTAAAAAAAATTATAAAATTTCATGGTGAATTTTCCAAGAAAAATAAGTAAAATTAAATATTTAAAATCTTGAATAATGCCAATAATATGAAAACAAATAAATAATTCTAACTAATATGACACTGTATTACAATCCAACATCAAGTATCTTCTTATCATATTAATCACTTTCACGCGTGTCAAACCAAAACTCTCTCTCTCTCCAATTTACGGCCAAAAAATTTGGCACGGAACTGTAATTGCTTTCTGTCCCCCAAAAGTTTCTGCGAAAAGTTGAGACCATCTTTTTCACGCGTTATGCTTGCCAAAATAAATTTCCAGAAAATAACGGCAGCAAGATTTTCCCGTGAAGCACCATGGCAAACCGGTATCTGACCAGCATGACGCTACGCCATGGACCCATGTCCAGTTCCGCCGGCAACTTGTACGGCGTTCAACCATGTTCAACCAAGTCTGAAAAAGCTCCGTCTTGTTTTCCATTCAGCTCGCTAAGGCATCCTTCGAGCAAAAACTGGCCAACACGTTTCATGGTGTCCAACCGCTGCCTTAAGCTGGAAAATACCATAAAACGCAGTTGCGCCTCCGACCAGCTGCTCTTGTCGTTGTCGACACCCGCTATCAGCCCCAGCCCCACGCTCAGCCCAGCCTACCGACCCCGCGCAACATCTTCTCTGGCCAGGATATGTCCGTTCAGTCGACCTTTGATATGAAACGTCCAGAACGATGTTGCGGAGTCCATCCGCCTTCAGCAGCCTTGCACCGAAATTCTTGTCAGGCCCTCTAGACCACCATCCGGGTCCAAGCAAACTAACCGCCTGGAGCCCACACATCCAACAACCATGAAAACCGGCCAGAACCTTCTCCGTTCAGTTCGCCTTGTAAAGCTAAAAAAAATTATCTTCCCCTCCCAATGTAATTTCCACTAAATTTCAAGGCAGAAAACAAACATTACTTCAAGAGGCGAGGATTTCCATGAAACGCAATATACGTAAGCTCCCAATGTCACCTTAGCAACATAAAAAAACCAAATGAAAATTGAAAAAAAAAATGCAGAAAAACAGAGCAAAAATCAAGCTAGAAAAATCACAAGGTACATGGCGAGACCGGGGAATAAGCAGAAGGCTCCACTTCGACGCCTCAAATATTCTCGCGCAGGCTGCTGGAGCCGTGGAGCTGGTGTCAAAAGTCGTCAACTGCTTCTCGAGCGCAACGTGCGGGGGAAGGGGGCGCGTGAGAGCCACTCCCGTCGCTGACAATTGAGCTGATGGTGGAGAGCCACCGGCGGCGCTCCACGGGAAGAGGGCAGGGGGGTTAGGGTCTATGGGGCCGATGGGGAAGAGTCCAAATTGGTATTCCAAATTAAATTGGATTTCTAGTTTGATAAAAGGCAAGATTTTATTTTTAAATTTTAAAAAAAAATTTAACATATATAGAAGACAGATAATCCCTTACAAATGATTCTAACAGAATCGTTCAAATAAGTTGGATAATGTATATCTTGATAGTAAATCCCTTCATATAAGGGATTTTTTGTTTCTTTAAATCCTATCCAAAAAAAAGTTGCCATAAGTAGAAAACATTTAATGAAGAAAAAGATTTGACCAAAAATTTAGTTGCTATTTTTAAAAATGGTAAATCTGTTTATATATATATAGATATGTAACTAACGGTTATAAATCTCAATAGAATGGTTCCATAACGGGATGAGATTGTAGCATTTTCCATATATATATATACTATCATTTTTCATCCAATTAATTGAGGTGTATTTATTAGTTTAAGAAGTTTAAAGATTTTTAGAGCATGTTTGGATATATAAAAAGTTTTTGTATTGATTGGATTTTTGGTTTCGGTTGGTTAAATTAGAAAAAAATTGGTATTGTTAGTTGTTATTGGGTATATTAAAATAATATTTAAAATAAAATGATTAAAATTAAATTGATGTAAGAATAAGAGAGAGAATGTGTGATGTGATGTGATGGTTAGTTAAAATCATGTGAGCAGATGAACAGTGAATTAAAGTTGACGTTATGTGTAATAATGATTGATTGATATTATTTAATTATATTGATAATATTGATGATAGTGAGGTTGAGTTAAAAAAAAAAAGAGTAGTTGAGTTAAAAATGATTGAATTTTTTTGGATTGAATTTTTTTTTTGGGTTGAAATTGTATCCAAGGTTGATGTTATACTTGTGTTGTGTGAATTTGGATTAAAAATTATTTGTATTTAAGGTTGATGTTATGTGGATTTTTAGGTGTATTTTAAATATTTAATTAGAACTTTTAATGACTTTTTTTTAAGAGTCTAAAAAATCAAGTAAGTATTCAGTGTGGATTTTTTAAAGTTTCATATATACAAGGTATTTATATTTCGTTTTTTAATTCTATGGAATTTGTCATTTGTTTGGATCGATTTAGAAAGATTTCGACGATGGTGGTATAACTAGCTGATAAACTAGTTTATAACTTATCAGTAAGCTCATACCTTATGACTTATAGCTGAGAAACTAACTGATATGATAAAAATGTTCGGTAATATTAAATGATAGGCGAGCTGAAAAAAATAATAATAAGCTTATTTAAAAAAACTACCCAAATAAGCTTATCAAATAAGTTGAAAAGCCCGTTCTACCAAATGGAGCTTATCTGAATACAAGGA